GGTCTCTTCTGAAAGGGGAACAGAACAAAATCATCTTCAAGTCAGTAAATAAATGTGCAGACATCAAAGTATCCAGCCAAACCAAAATTGAGAACCCATTGCCTTAACTGAGATGAGTTAAATATGAGTTTAGATAAAGTATCACTTTAAAAAAGGCTGAATTCCACAGGGATTGGGAGAATCCCTACAACTGAATGGCTGCAAATGGGTTCAATCACTGCTTGACATCAAGTCAGTCTAGGCTATCTTCAGCCCAAACTCCTGAGCACTGAGTCATAGGAAACCGGCCAAAAGCAAGCAGAGGACATTTGTCTTTAAAATGATGGGCCCTAGTTCATGAACCACCCACTGCTTCATTAGAAACTCAACATTTGCATCCAATTACTTTGTCAAGTGTGCTTATACATTTGGATCAAAACACCTGGGTGCCCTGCTGTTCACTCAACGATTTGGGAGGTTAAAGCAAAACAAGCACTTTCACACTTGAATTCTGCCTTGGTGCAGCTTCTTCGGGCAACCCTGACCATGTGCTGCTCACCCAGTTTGAGCTCCAGTGTGTGGATTTTGTTCTCCAGATAAAGGCGGCTACTTTCTGTCTGCTCTGCTTTTTCCAGCAGTTTGCCTACATTGAGGACAGCACCATTGTACAAAACCAGGCTACCAGACTGAGATTCTGTGACAGACTTGGTAGGAACCTTGGGCGCAGAAGTAGATGAAGGCAGTAGTGTGAGGTTCCCTGAAAGAACAAGGCAACAGTTATTCCAGCTGCCTTTGAAACCCAGAGACTAGGAATAGGGAAACAAAACCGAAAAACATAATTTTAGAAAACATTATGGAGCAACATTTTGTGAATTGATTCCCAGTAGCTGGTGTTGCAGATTGAGACATCAAAACCTTCTCCTTCCTGCCACACAAAGAAGTTTTGTTGTCCTAAAACAAAGCCTACTTTGAGAGCCAGAGTAAAGAAACTGCTCTGAGTCTCACCAAAGAATCCAAACTCCTCTTGCTACCAGCTGGATAGACAGTGACAGGTATACAGATAAATGCATATAGGGAGGGAGGAGTCCCTGGGACTCTTAGCAGCACTGCATGGAAATGAAGATTAATAAAGATGACCAGAAAAAAACTGATTTGAGGGGTGACAGCTAAGTTGCATACAATACCAAAGCTGGAAGGATCCTAGCTGAGAAGGCAAACACATAGGCCATACCATCCATGAAGCTCCATACAATGGAACACTCCCCTCCCACCCCATCTTTGGTACCTACCTAATGACTCCTCCTCAGGGCCTGGCTCAGTCCCTTCCTGCCGACTGTAGTGGAGGTTGCGGTAGCGGCACACGAACTGCGTCACCACCCTGTTCACCAAGCGCTTCACCTGCCACCAGATGAGACACCCCCCTCCATGAATGGCACTGGAAAAGGCCCGCAAACAGATCCTCGTGCACTCAGTGCTAACTAGAAATCTTCCAAGTCATTCAAACCACAAAAAAACCAACCACCACCTGAAGAACAAAACTGGGCTGACGCTCACCTGTTCTTTGCAGAGATGCAGTCCCAAGGTGAGAAGGATTTTTTCCATATCCTTCCTATGCAGGTAACCACAGCAATTCAAGTCAAAGTAAATGAAGGCAAGAAGGGCATCCAATGGCAACACAGCACTTGGGTCCAGCCCTCTGGACTTGGGGAGGGAGGGAGAAATAAAAGAAAAAAAGAGGCTGCTCAAACTGCCAAGATACCATATTTGTTCCATCTATAGACCATCACATTATCTTTCATTGGTGAAGACACATACACACACACCCTGAAGGGGAGTTCCAGGGTGAGGCATCAATTTCATATCTATGTAGCAGATTCTCTCAGGACCCATCAGTAAGATGTGCTAGGTAGGGCTGATTTTGGCAGAAGCCATTAAGAAGGATCGGGTCCCAGAATTCAGCTCCCTTGCTGGGGAAACCTACACTAAACCCAGAGTTTCAATGTATGTCAGTCACTAGCCTAAAGATAGTGGGACAAACAAGCTTTGGAGACTTAAGAGACAGAAGAGGCACATCTAAAATTGATAAGGAAAAGAGTATAACTCAAAATGTTAATAAATAACCCAGATAAGTCTCTTTCTTGCTCTAGAAAATTAATTTGAGAAACTTTGTTCCAGAATTTTGTGGAGCAGAGAATTTTGTTCCCATTTTGAAGAGGCTGTGATGAACAACAGCTGAACAAGGCTACACTGTTGTCACATATCATCCAAAATCTATTCTGATGCAAAAAATCTAGCCCAACCCTGCCAAGACATACATTTCCAATTCAGATAGGCATGAAAAAAGATGTGGATATACAACAGGGATAGCTCCTACTACATAATTTTTTTAAAAATTAAGAAACACCCAAACTGAGAAGTCTGATAACCAGGAATCATGCTGTGCCCCATGCCCCAAATGAGGATTTGCTTCCCTTTTTTCCATTTCTTTCACCCAGAATTGGCTGCTTTGGTCAAAAATAAAAAGTATGCAGCCATGGTGAAGCATGCTACGTAAAATCATACCAATCCACCTGCCAAAACATGGGCTCAATGTAGAATTTTAAACCTTCAGCAGAAGAATGTGATCAAATGAATGTCAAAATCATACTGTATTAATTAGTCACAAAGCCACAGAAACACAGTATTTATTTATGTCATGCATAACACCCAGCTGTTCAACAAGCTCCGAGGGTGGCTAATATTAACATCCAGTCAAAATACTGAAATGGACCCTGAACAATCCTCAGAATCCAAAGCAAGTTTCAAAATGAAGGGTGCTAGACACTAACCACATCATGAAGTGAGGAGAACTCCATCTCTGATTGATTGGATGCCACCGATCTCACTTCAGCATCTTCTAGTTTGACACCTGGGGGGCAAGGCAAGATAACCTACTTCAGACCTACTTTCAGACCTACTGAAAACCAAATCTAAAATGGATATAAACCAGGGTTTTGGCAAAGTCTGCAGTTATCAATGGTAATTAAGGAGTAGAGACATGACACCATTTGAAGTCAAGGGCACCAGCTTGATTCTCTGCTCCTAAACTGAGTCTGCTGACAAAAATAAAGCAGCTTCTGTCTTTGTCAAGATTGCTGGCTCAATCAGTAAGTTCCTGAGCTAAGATGAGCAGCCTCTTAGCACCAGCTTCAGAGTCACGTTGACTTGAAATTTGAATACCTGGTACACTATCTTCTAAAGCACCTTGTTCATCACAGCAACAGTCACACAGTGGAGAAGCCACTTTGGCATGTCTGAGAATAGAAAGTAGGCCAGGGAAAGGGACCCAGAAACCCTGACTTTCCCTGTTTGGATTTAACGGTAGTTAGGTAAGGCCTGCCTACATGTAACATCACAGCCTTCCCCCACCCCCCATGCCACTGACACCCTCACATCCTGAAACATTGCCCTTGTGATGGCTGCATTTCCCAGAGTACCAACCAAAATCCTCTTCCTCATCTTCTCTTAGCAGCAGTAAGTCATCCTCCAGGCTCAGGTCACAGAGGTCGTCTGTAGAATCCTTTGGCTCCGATTTAACATTCTCACTGACCTTCTCCTCCTTGGCTGAATTCGATCCATCCTGACCTGCTGGCTTCTTCTCAGCATCCCCAGCCTCCTCTTTCTAAAAGCACATCAACAAAAATATATATACCATGCAATCCCCACCCCGACCGACACAGAAATTCTTAAATCAATGTTATATATGGATACTGGCTAATCTGAAAAATATCTTGTTTTTTTTTAAAGTTTTGCTAGTTCTGGAGGGAAGTGAAGCCACCTGGAAGTTGTATGTGACACCAGGATGCTACCTGCTTTCAAAAGCCACCAGATGTTAGCTCTATTTTGGGAAAGGAGAGACTTACTTCCACCACCCAAGCAACTGAAGCCACTTGGCCATGCTAATGCCTAGGGAGACAGGTCAGCTCACCTGAGCTTCCCTCTGGTTACTTTCTGTTGCTTCCTCTGCCTCAGGTTTCTCTAGAGGCTCATCTCTGAGCTCACTTTCACCTTCCTTCTCTGATTCTGTTGCTTTCTCAGCCTCGGGATTCTTTGCCTCCAGTGGTTCCTCCTTCTCTGGCAGGACCAGTAATGCTTTGTAGAGCCTGTATCCAAAATCCCGTTGAAGCATCTCCTGGAAGAATTCTGTCACCACTGCCACCTCGGGGTGGAGAGAGAACAAGAGAGAGAACAGTGACCAAAAGGTGAGGCAAGAGCATAAAGCCAACATCACTCACAAGAGTACAGGACAGAAACACGCACAAGAATTCTCAAACCTTACAAATTAAAATCTTCATGAGGCTGAAACTTGCAATCCACACAGTTGGGGCCATCTCCACAGAACATCCTCTATGTTTTGCCTGCTCCTCCCTCCCTACATTTTATGGGCCTCGTTTAGCGGCTGCCTCACTCAAGCTCCCCTGAAACAATGCATAGCCATTAGGTGTTCTTCCACTAATTTCCACTTATTTTCTGGAATTCCCATAGCAAAAAGAGGTTACCGAGTTGGATTATCCATGAGTGTTCGCTAACTCTTCTGAGATGATTAAGAACCCAATAGGCAACCCTAAACACTCAACTATGTGGCAGTTAATTGGAGAGAAAAGGCCAAGAAAAAAGGTGGAAAAGAGACTTAGCATGGAAGTCTACCTGTAGAAGCTGAATCCCAGAGAAATGAGGCCTACCTCAAAGGAGAGCTTCTCTCGCTGCCTCCTGTACTCCAGCAGGGTGTAAAGAGATAGGTTGCTGCAGCTAGACAGACCACCCTGCAATGCTGGTGGTGGGTAAGCAACAATGGCAGGTTCTAGGGGAGGAGCTGGGGCTTCTGGTTCAGATGTGGAGGACTCAACACCTGGCTCAGGTGCAGGTTCAGCTGTGTCTGCTTCCTGTTCACTGGTTTCCATTTCCTGTTCAGGACCTGGTTCAGAGGACTGTTCAGTTTCTTCTTCCTATTGAGAAACATGATCATTTTAGCTTGCGCTAACGACAGTGTGGCTTAATAGTTTTGAGTGTTGACTGTGACTCTGGAGACAAGGGTTCAAATCCCCTCTCAGCTGTGGAAACCCACTGGGTGACCTTGAGCAAGTCACACACTCTCAACCTCACAAAAAGGCAAAGACAAACCCATTCTGAGCAAAACCTGCCAAGAAATCCCTGTAATAGGTTTGCCTTAGGGTCACCATAAGTATGAAAAGAAGGCATGCAGCAATAACAAAAGTGACCTCTATCAGAGAAAAAGTTCATCCTCATGATCCAAGGCTAATGAGTCATTTCAACCTAAAAGCAAAGTGGAATACCATTCCCAGTGATCAACTTACATTGGTGCAATGACTCCACAAAGTTAACGTAACAACACAAGAAAGTATTCCTTAACTTGAATCATTCTGTATCAACTAGGTAGTAAAAATAACTTCCAGTATCAATGAGAAGTGGGAGATGAGGGGACAAGATCCCCTCACTTCTAGCCATCATATGATAGGTTGTCAGGGTCTATTGATCCTTCTGTGCTCAAATAAAACTTTTTATTCGATTCTATCATATTCTTACCATCACTGTTGTCTCTTCTGGGGGCAGGGGAGGAGCTTTTTCTGCTTTCTGTTTGCACAAGGCTTCCCATTCTTCAAGAGATGGCATACAGCTCCAAATATCTGGCAGGAAGACCACAGTCGTCTCCTGATGTGATGGGTTTCCTTCACACAGATACCTGAATTCAGCAAATCGGAACCTAATGTACAAGAATTGGAGAGAGAATTAGGCAGCAAAAAAAAAGATCTAACTCTTTGAAAAATATGTACATTTACATCTCTGCACTGCATACATTTAGGAGTGCAAGCCCACTCCTGGGATACTGAATCAGAATAGGCAAAATCTTCTAATACAGGGGCTTTCCACCAATCCCTGTAGCATGAAGATGGGCTCCCTAGCTCAAACCATCCAATAATATATTCCTAGACCCTCTTGCCTATACAATCTTATCAACTCTACAATAAATATACAGAGAACAGTTCAGTATGCCTGCACAAATGCTCTTATTTTGCTTAAGAAGAAATATTTAAAAAGCAAACCTCCCCCACAAAGTCACCACCAGTTTTTACGCTGAATTATAAAAAGATAAAGTGATTTCAAAAAAAATATTTTTGCTTGTGTGTTTAGTCTTATATATTTGGAGATCCCAAACAATGGCTGGCATCCTGTTCTTTGGTCCCAAGTAAATAGACCCCTTCAAACAATTGTTGGGTGGTGAGTGAAAATGTTGGTAACTCCCACTGATTCAATGGGTCTACTTTAGCCAAAACTAATGACACAATTCAGCTTGTTGTGTGTTAGGACATTTATATATTATAAAACAAGATTTGAGCTTAGAACCAAATGTATATTCAAGAGTTTTCATGTGCATTAGGAATCCGAGGTTCCACATCTCTGGCATAGCGCTAAAATGGAAGGTACCGTATATACCTGACTATGAGTTGACTTCATGTGTGTCGAGGGCAGGTTTTGGGGCCAAAATTATGCATTTTGATATGCCCCATAGATAAGTCAAGGGTAAAACATGTAACAAAGTAAAAACTGGTGGTGACTAAAGGATGAAGCAAAGGAAGACAATGCCAAAGAACTTTAAAAATTCTAGCAAGTAGGCTGGATGGGTGAGAGAATAGAGAGGGAGTCAGTGCTTCCAGGAAAGATTATATTTTTGCCTTTCACCAGAGGATGGTTCCTTTTCTAATGAGATTTAAAGTACATTACATACATTGTCCTGTAGATATGTCGACTCAGGTTTTTGAGTCAAGTTTTGGACTAAAATTGCTAGACTAGTACACGAGTATACATATCTCCTCCCAATTCGCAGGGATCTGTTTTGGACCACCACCACCCATGAAAATGGTGGCTCACAAATATTCGAGACTCATTGAAAATAATGGTGCATGCACCTATGGCATGGGGGGGGGGCGCTGCCATTATATCCCTCCGCACTTGTCTCTCCCACAAAGAGTGGGCCCACGGACTCGAAGTCTGCGAACGGGAGGGACAACTGTATACAGTATGTAAAGGACTCCAGAATAGTTAGGGCCAACCTAACTCTATTGGAGAAGTTCGACTCCCCAGCCAAGATGGCAGGCAATTGGCCCCAAAGGCTACCAGTCCCAAGTTGGTCCATCGCCAGTTCCTTCCACAAAATCTGACAATCAAGGAACACAAGCATAGCCTTCTACACTACTTGACCTAAAACAGTCCTACAATCATGACCTTTGGATATTCATTTTTCCAATCCTTCCAATTCGTGGGGGTCTGTTTTGGACCACCACCCCCCATTGCGATGTCCCAGCATTGGAAATTTCCCCCAAATAGTTTGGCTTCCCTTAGCGCTACGGAACAGAAAGAGTGCGTTTCTAGGGAACAAACGCTCCCAAGGCAAGACTACGTTCAACAAGTGGCAAAGCATCAGGGGCCCAGAAGCTCCCTTCTTCCCTCATCTGTTGCTTCCCAAACAAGTCACATGTGCTGCCAGGTTTAAGCAAAATAAGATCAGTTGCCATGGTTACCCAGTGGAAGGAATCTATATATAGCCATGCTGCTACCAACCAAACCAATGTGCTCCAAGTTCCGGCTTGTTTCCTTACTGTTGATTCGCTGGGGGTCTGAATTTGTGAAGTCTTTGCTGGCCCCCAAGAACTCACGTGGAAAAGCATCCACAGGAATGCCAAGGAGCCAGAAACATACTTTTATGTATATCTTTTCTTACTGGCAACTTTCAAATTCTCCACTCTTCATCAGACCAAGTTGCACAAAAAAAATCACCCCAAATGTCTGTTTTTCCCCCCTTTGCTGGACTTTTTTTTTTGCACCATCTGATCTGACAAAGAGTCTTGGAGACCATGTAAGCCTTCACATGCTTTTGTGGCATTTCAGATGGTAACAAGAAAGACAGCCCCCAATTGTGGATTTTTTTAAATCCATCTTTTATTACTACAAATAGAATTTTAAATTCATCATATAATTTACTCTTCTAGCCCAGAATTCCAGACACAATCCTCATTTAAGTTTTGTAAAGTAAATATTTTCAAATGGCTCTGTCACACTGATCCTGGAAATCTTTGATGAATACACTGAAGTTTTGAGCACTCTCCCCTTTAGATTCTATCAGTGCTTTCCTGAACATACCTGGCACATTTTTCTTGAATTGCATATACAAAATTAAAACTCAAAACAGACATGCTTGCTAATTACAAAAGGCAGCCACCTAGCGGTTAAAAGGCTAAAATAATTATTGTGATATTAGATACATGACTGAGATTTTCATCCAGAACTGCTTACGATAACCTGATTAGGTCATAAGGTGTCACAGATGTTTTTCTGTTGTAGCTACTTTATTTTGACAAATCAATCTCGAGGCCCTGAAGATTCTGTATATCCATGCTGATTAATCCAGCTTTCCCCAACATGGCACAACATGTGTCAGACTATGATCCCTATCATCCCCAGTCAGCATCCAGTTTTCTTTTAGGGTTTATAATTTGCCTCTATTTGTTATCGAAGGCACCTCACATAAAAATATAAAATATCAATGATCAACAACAAAATAATTAAAAAATTGAGACATCATGATGAAAACCACAAGCCACACAGTGCAGCAAATAGTTTTTAAAACTGAAACATATTCAGCCTCAAATCAGAAGCCTCAGAAAATAAGACAACCTTTGGGGCATATATGTGACACAGACTTATTTGAAATGCTTGGGACCGAAAGTGTTTTTTTAGGGGGGTGGATTTTGGAATATCTGCACTGTGACCCAAGTCTAAACATAAAATTCATTTATGTTTTGCATACATTTTACACAAACAGCCTAAAGGTAATTTTATACACAATGTTTTAAATAATTTTGTGCATGAAACAAAGTTTGTGTACACTGAACCATCAGAAAGCAAAGATGTTACTATCCCAGCCAAACAAAAGGACAATCTTGGATTTTTGAAAATTTCAGATTTTGGGTAAGAGAGACTCAACTTGTATTTAAAACCAGGTAGATAGCAAGCCTCCTGTAGATGGGGTATCACAAGGGAGAAAATCCATTATCCGGTCACCATCAACCTCTCCTCCTAAAGGCAAGGCAGAATTACTCAGAAATGGATATCCAATGAGGATCTTGCATGTGTTTTATTTCCCTATCTGAAGAATTTTCAGCCAGATGTCACATCTACACAATGCACTATTAAAGCTACCTGAAGTTTAATCTCAGCAACTACACTAGCGGTAGGCAACCTTTCCCCTTTAAGGGCTGAGGGACTTCAGCTCCCAGAATCCCAGAAGCTATTGGCCAGCATGGCTGAGGCTTCTGGGAGCTGAAGTCCCTCGGCCCTTAAAGGGGAAAGATTGCCTACCCCTGAACTACACTCTCCTCTAAACTCAGAACAAATGTTTATTAATTCTGTTGCCCCAAGTTACAAGATCCAATAGCAGTAGAGAAGGCCAACAAATCAGGACTAGATTATCCAAGGTGCTGGCTTATTGTTTTGTTACTTTATCCTATCTGATTTTATATAAATCACCTTGTGCATATCTGGAAAGGCCATATAAAAATACAATGAATGCAGGCAGACATAAGGCAGGTAAAGAATAAGGGATAAGTATCACTTTGATAAGATCCAGTGGTTCTTATCTCAGTGAAAAAGGTAGCCAAGGAAGGTGCATCTCAGTATCAGAAAAGGAACACTTACCATTTCGTGCAGCCGGTCAAGTCCAAACCAATCTGCGCCTTCGCACAACGAATGGCTGTATGAATCAGAACCATGGGATTTGTTGCTGGGTCAGGACCATCCAGGGATGGGGACCACTCCCCTCCTATCAGCACTGCTTCATCTGCTTTCTTTCCCAACAAGAACTATGGGGGCAGGGGGAAAACAAATATATGCCTCCTTAACACATTATCTAGTCATACACTTGGATCTTGGGGGAAGTGGGGGAAGAGGCTCAAGGTGAAGCTTTCTATGAACAGGCATCTGCATTGCTCATGGATCCTGCATGGTCTCTCCCACCAATTACTTGGATCTGTAAGGAAGC